TTAATATACCGATAACTTGATATACCGATATTTTTTTTCTCAAAACAGCTGTATCGTTACATAGAGGTTTGACTGTATTTATAATAAAAGTATTTATTTAATTAATTTTGTATATTTAATTTGTATTATTTGTATATATTTTAAAAGTATTTAAATTTAATTGTATATAATAAAAAATATTTACATAATAACTTTATAAATTGTTTATTAAATTAAGTGTTTAAGTTTAATTAACACTAATGAGTTAGATTTAGAGTTTGGATTAGGATTAGTATAGGTTATTTTATTAATCAATCCTAACGAGTTAGGGTTAGGGTTAGTGTTAGGTTAATTTATTAATCAATTCTAACGCGTTAGGGTTAGATTAGGTTATGTTGGTTTATTAACCAATCCCAATGCGTTAGGATTCGGATTAGGGTTAGATTTTAATCACTATATTAATTATAAATTAATGCATAGATTTATAATTTTAATATAAATTGAATTATCACGTTAAATTGGCGAACCCCGGGGCATCGCCCGGGTAGAATTGCTAGTATTTACATAAAATAAAATAATATAAACTGCACGGCTAGCTACATTGCTGCCAAGTTGTAGTCCCACGACTAGCTACAACAAAACCTTCTTACCTTAAAATGTTCCTTCAGAAATCCGTCTCTCTTCATTTCAATTTCTTCACCGTTTGTTAAAAATCACTCTAATTGTATATTAAATGATCTCCAGACTGTTATTTTAGGGGTAAATTAGAGTTTTTCCGATATTCATGGTCGCTAAAGAATCCCAATCTTACTGGGCATAACTCTAATGTGTGACAGGTTACAGACAACTTTTTACGAAATTTTTCCTTTTCATTTTTGCTCGTTCTGCATATAATCGGTGTAACCTGTCACACATTAGATTACTGGGAAGATGACGTCATTACGAATTTCAAAATGCGCAGTAAAATTTCGTGATTATAAATTGCCGATTCTTTCTACATTTATGTAGTGTTTCTCTGAAAATAGAATCGTCATTAATATTAGAGCGTGAAAAGCCACAAGGCTCTCTCAGAAATCAATTTCGTAGTTATCTTCATAAAATGGCAACGCTATGGATCCATATTGAGGGCGAACAAAAAATCTCTGAAATTTCATGTTATGAGACAACAGTCAGAGCTTGACAAAATTGACTTGGATGATATCAGCCCTGAACTTTGTAATAAAGAAATTCTTAAAAATGTTCATCCAGACAAAATCGATTTCTTTAGATACAATGACCGTATTACATCTCTTCGTCCGGATACCCTTATTAATACTTTGAATACAACTGCCTCGGA